CAGCTGTGTCCCTCTGCCCTCCCGTCCTCCCACATGCAGAAGTAAAATGTTCCTGAGGGTGTTCTTTTCTTGTGCCTGTTTGTGGGTCCTTCCTTCTCACTTTATCCTGAAGGCATTTTTTTGGGGTTTTGTTTTTCACTTGTTCTTTTCTTGGCAACATGTCTGCTTCTTCCTCTGTCTGGACCGCCTCACCACGTTTATTCACTCAGTGAGCCTGCACTGGGGACCTGCGGTGTCTCCAGCACCCACCGAGGTGGTGGGGACAGAGAGATTAAAAAGAGAGAACTACAAAAAAAACAAAAACAAAAACAAAAAAAAACAAATAGCCACAGTTCTCGCCTTCATGGGACCACACGGCTTGTGGAAGCATATATAGAAACAAGTTTTTCCTATACTAACTATCCTTTATCCAGCCTTTACTACATGTCCTCAGAGACTTATCCAAGTGCATTATCAGAATCAGCTCATTTCATCCTCATGGCAGTCTGAGGAGGCAGGCACTATGACCATCCCCATTTTACAGATGAGGAAATTGAGGCACAGAGAGACAATTCGCCCCACCCTATGCAGCTAATACATGCTAAAGCCAGATTCAGATCCAGACCATGTGGCTCCTTCACCACGATAACACGCTGCCCCAGGTGCCCCAGCACACAGGAAGGGACGGATCGCTTTGCTTAAGCAAGTCAGGGAACGCTTGACAGAGGAGGCGAGTTTGAGTTGAATTTTGATGGATGGATAGAAGTTCGCTGAGTCAGAAAGAGCAGGAAAAGCATTCTAGTAAGAAAGGTCAGTATGTCAAAAGTCAGAAGCATGCAATGACATGACATGGGAAGTTTGCTGTGGCTAGACCAGAGGGGACATGGGGACCAGGAGCGGGGACCAGGAGGCATGAGGCTGGAGATGGGCTGAGACCAAGTCACATGGGGCCCTGTGGACCTCATGAGGCACTGGCGTTTGGTCCTGTAGGCAGACAGGAGCCCCTGGAGGGCTACGAGGTGGACACTGGCTTATTCCCCCTCTCTCCCCTGCTAAGCAAACTTGACTGTGGCCCCATGTCCACGAAACACCCACTCCCGTGGGCCACTCTCTCCCCCATGCGTCCCTCTGGCTCACAGCTGTGCCATTCTCTCTCTCACTGACCCCCCCCACCACCGTGTTCCTCAGGGGCCGTGAGAGCCTCGAGCATTTTCCCGATCCTGAGTGTGATTCTGCTCTTCATGGGTGGACTCTGCATCGCAGCCAGCGAGTTCTACAAGACTCGACACAACATCATCCTGAGTGCCGGCATCTTCTTCGTGTCTGCAGGTAATGGCCTCTGAGCTGGGCAGGCCAGAACCCGGGCCTGCCTGTGGGGAGAAGGCCGAGATTTGGGTGCTCAGTGGCTGGGAGGACCTGACAAAGACAGGAGGGAGGGAGAAGAGGAAATCTCCAGGACTTGCAACAGGTCATGTCATAGGGAGGGCAGGTTGTGCTGGGGCTCCTGCCCCATAGTAACATCCAAGCCCCCGGCTGAGTCCTCCAGGAACATCCCCCAACCCTGTCTCTCAGCCCAAGGGCCCATCTCCCTCCCACCTTTTAGAAAAGGGTCCGAATCCCAGGTCTCTCACAGAATACGGGGCCTATCCTCACTGCCCTGTCCCCTCACTGTCCCACCCTGGGGGGAGCAAGCAGGCAGGCACCTAAAACCACATACAGGCACTTAAAACCTGTTACAGGACAAGTCACATTGCTTCAGATGCCAGAAAAAGCCTATGGCCATACTTACCACACCCCGGCCCCCAACAGCTCCACATGTGCTAATTCATTCAATCCTCTCCATGGCCCTCAAGAGGGAGTCCTATCACCCTCCGCCCGACCACACACACACACACACACACACACACACACACACACACACACACTTTACAGGTCTGCAAACTCTGACTCAGGTCACCTTGCCAAAGGCTTTGAATCCAGGCAGTCTGGCTCCAGGATCCAGTGCCAACCCCCTGCTATACCAGCTTCAAACCTCAGTGCAGCCTTGAGCAAGTTACTTAACCTCTCTGCAATCCATTTCCTCCTTTGCAAACCCCCAGAACAGCACCACACAGCGAAGGCGGGTAGCAAACGCTCAATAAACAGTACCTCTTATTAGTAGTCCACGCATGGTGGTAGAATGCCTCCCTCTCCTCTCCTCTCCTCCCCTCGCTTTGTTTCCATCAGCCCTCCCCTTTGTCGCTCCCTCCAATGGCATGATCCAATATTTAGGCCATGCTTGCCACTAGCCCTCTCCGGAACCGGCCACGAAGGGCCACGCGGCTGCCCCTGTCTGTTAGTCCTGCCCAGGGCCTGACACCGCGCTGAGAACTAACCACCCCTCTCTCTGATCCCCCCCACCCCCACCCCGCACCCACCCTGTGCCCCGCAGGTCTGAGTAACATCATTGGCATCATAGTGTACATATCTGCCAATGCTGGAGACCCCTCCAAGAGCGACTCCAAAAAGAATAGTTACTCGTACGGCTGGTCCTTCTACTTCGGGGCCCTGTCCTTCATCATCGCCGAGATGGTCGGGGTGCTGGCCGTGCACATGTTTATCGACCGGCACAAACAGCTGCGGGCCACGGCCCGCGCCACGGACTACCTCCAGGCCTCGGCCATCACCCGCATCCCCAGCTATCGCTACCGTTACCAGCGCCGCAGCCGCTCCAGCTCCCGCTCCACCGAGCCCTCACACTCCAGGGACGCCTCCCCCGTGGGCATCAAGGGCTTCAACACCCTGCCGTCCACGGAGATCTCCATGTACACCCTCAGCAGGGACCCCCTGAAGGCCGCCACCACGCCCACCGCCACCTACAACTCCGACAGGGATAACAGCTTCCTCCAAGTCCACAACTGTATCCAGAAGGAGAACAAAGACTCTCTCCACTCCAACACAGCCAACCGCCGGACCACCCCCGTATGAAGCCCGCGGGGGGCCTGGCGGCGCCGCAGGAGAGCCGCGCAGCCCCCCCCCTCGCGTGGGCCCCCCCCCCGAGGAGGGGGGGAGGAGGGGGCGGGAACCCAACCATCCACTGGGGCGGGGACCTTCCAAAAGCAAAAAAAAAAACAAAAAAACAAAAAAAGAGAAAAACGTAACAAGCAAATTTAAAAAAAAAGAACAAAATATAAGAGGAACAAAGAAGCAAAACGACAGGAAATGTGACAAAAAAAATATTAACCGAGGGAAAGAAAAACAAACTTAAAAATAAAAAAAGCGAGCGAGGTTAAAAAATTAAAAATAGACAATAAATCTAAAAGAAAATGCATGATTTCCCATGTACCATTATTTTAACATTTAATAAAAACCAATCTAAATGAAAAAATAAAAGGGAACCAAGATAACATTAAAGCAAAAAATGAGGAGCAGAAAGGAAGGGGGAATGTTCTCTGCATTTATCAGGGGTTTATGTTCCTTTTTGTTTTAATGCGGGCGAGTTACTTTTCTGTTCTTTTTAACCCCAAGCGGGCTCTGCCTCCCTGGGCGAGTGGGGGGTGGAGACTCAGGGGCCCCAGGGCCAGGTGAGCCCCTCGGTCACTGCCAGGTCCCTGGAGCCTCTGGATGGGTGCCCCAGAAACGCTGGGCAAGCTCTGAGGCTTGAGAGCCGGCTCCACGCGGCATCGATGGGGCAATTGTAGGCCTCCAGGTGACCCTAGAGTCCTTGGTCCCTCCTGTCCGAAAGGTGCCTGGAGGGGGGTGCACTTGGGGCTTGCCCAGCCCCCAAGTTCCCAGTCCTTAATGGTCCTTAACCCACTGTGATGACTTCCTAGGCCTTGAGGGAGGGGAAGGAGAGGGGATGGCTGCCGTTGGCTTGCGAGATGCCCCAAACCCTGGAATCCTCAGGGTGAGCTTCTTGGGGTCACCACCCCAAGCTCCTGCCCTCGGGAGCAGGAGATGCTCACCCCCAGGGGGGATATAAAGCAGCTCTCCCTCCTCACCTCTCACCTCAGGGCCACCTCACCTGATGACCCTGGGGCGATGGTGGACCCCCAGACTCATAGGCCCCCCCCAGCCCCCTGGGAAGGGGGCTTATTGACCCTTTGGGGGTCCTTGGACTCACTGAAGCCCCCCTGGGGCCCAGCGGGTCCAACAACGACACTGCAAAAAGGTTTCTTTTTACAAAAGAAAAAGGAAAAACAAGTGGTGATTTTTTTTTTAATAAAAAAACCACAGACTATAAATAAATGTAAATATATAATAAGTGGATTTACTTGCAAGAAAATCAGATAGTATTTTTCTTTTAATTCTTTTCCAGCTTTAAACTGTGAAAACAAAACAATGGGGTGGGGTGGGGGACTTAAAATTTAGCAGGGAACTTGTAAAGAGAAAACAGAAAACAAATATACAAATCCATTAAAAAAAAAAAAACAAACCCTGCTGGGAGAGATCAGGGCTGGGCTCAAGGGGGAGGCAGAGGAGGAGGGCCCGGGGGGAGCGGCAGGGAGGTTGTACGACAGAGATCTCTTCCTTATACCAGGAAGGTGCTGCTAATGCAGAAAAGAGAGAGAATCACGACGGAGAACCAGGTCTACACGAAGATCGCACACCCACTCCCACACACTCACATGCACACAGACACGGTCCTCCAGGCCCCGTGCTCCAATCCACCGGGATACACACTTGGTCTAAACCCTTCCCTCTCCATACACAGCCAGAGGCAGGGTTCAGGGAACACTGACTCCTGCCCTCCAAAGCCATTGACAACAACACCACCACACACACACACACACACACACACACACACACACCACTAGCATGCATGGAAAGGACCCCAGTCTAAAATCCAGCTCTGGATTCTGGAATCCCTTGCAGCGGTTGCCTCTCTGGGCCTCAGTTTCCCCTATACGTAAGCATACAGATTGACCTAGATGAGCTCCAAATGCCTATTCTTATTCTTGGTGTCGATGACTTTTAAGATCTGCCACCTGCCCAGAGGAAGATGCCAGGGATGACCGAAATAGCAGCCATCCAGCCCCCAGACATTGAGAACATTCCCAAATCATCAGTCAGCCTCTCAGCCACACACACACACACACACACACACACACACACCCCATATGCCTCCTCACTGTGCTCCCAAACCCCTGGCCCCACATCCAATGTCAGAGCAAAAATACATACATGTGAACAAACGTATCCTGCCATTCAGAGAGAGGGAAAGGCACCAGAGGTCCCCAAAGTCACTCTTCATTTCGTGTCCCCTTTCTTTAGTGCCATAACCCAGTCACGGAGAGTGAAGGGGGCTTCTGAGAAGAGATCAGCTGCCAGGCCTTCCCCACTATCTTTGGGGGTCAGAGAAAAAGAGGATCCTCTGGGGTTGGCTGGGAGGGGTTCAGGTCAAGGGGATGGAGGAGATGGCTTTACAAAGTTTGGTCACAGGTTGAGGACCAGCTCCCAAAATAAAGCTGATGCCACGGACTAAAACCTGGGGCGTCCCGTGTTGCTCCCCGCTCTTCCCAGAGGGGAGAAGGCCGAGTTCAGACGGAGAGGGACCCAACAGCTTTCTCGAGTGCGAAGTTCAGCCCAGCCTGCTGGCCACCCTGCTGAGGGTGGGGGCCCCTGCTAGGCCCATAAGCAGGTTTTGCTTTGCCTCTTTCTTGACCCCAGCCTGGCCTGAAGTTCCGAAAGCTGAGCTCTGGAGAGTTGTGGGGAGTGGCTCTTGAGGCTTTCGGGGTGCTTGCACACTCCCAGCCACCCTTCCTGTGTTTTGTCCGGGAAAGGAGAGCTCTGTTTTCAAGTCAGCTGCAGCGGGAACCCTAAACTCAGCCTGAGCCACAAGGCAGAACATCTGCCCGCCCAGCCCCCCAGTGCACAGAGGCCACAGGCTCCGGACAGAGGGACAGAGTGCTTGGCGGCCAAGGCCAGTGCGTGGCGACCCAGCGCTTCTCGGTCTGGGCAGAAATCACAGTCTCTCCCTCCCTCGCCCCACCAGCTTCCAAACCCAAACCTGAAAAGATGAAGGACTAGAGAGATGGAGAGGCCCCAAGAACAGAGCAAACAAGCAGGTGCTGGTCGAAGGACAAAATTGGCCCCAGTTGTGGCAGAGCGTTTGGGATGGCACCGGCGCCTCTTTCCAGGCTGAGGCCTGGGTCCCGGGGCTGCTTGAAGAAGGCCATCTGGGTGGGGGCGAAACCAGCACTGCTGAGAAAGGGCTAGGGGACCCGGAGGGAAGGAGCGGGGAGCAGGACTGCAAAGGGCGCTGCTTCCAGGGTGGACGGTTGCTCATGTCCAGCTCAAACCAGTTCAAGAAACCAACCTCTGTTTTATTTTCTTGGTGGGTCCTTTTTTTTTTTTCAGACTGTTAACAGAAAAAAAAAAAAATTTTAAAAAGCAGAAAACTTAAAAAAGAAAAAAAAAAAGAAAAAAATCCTGGTACATGAAATAAAGATTTTTTTTTATAGCTTGGTCCTCATGTCAGTGGATTTCTTTCATTGCTTTCCCCATCCCGGCATCCCCATTTAACACAATCCTAAAGCCGCAGATTCCCAGAGCTGGGGGATGGGAGGCTTAGAAGCCATGCAGGAGAGTGTCCCCACTCCCGAGGTCATGAGTCTCCTCTTAAATATCCCTTAGGGATACTTGCACACACCTCCAGTGACAGGGAGCTCACCCCCTCCATAAGCAGTGTTTATTGGTCAGAGTCTCCTCCACAAGATGAATTTTAATCCATGTCCTCCTTTGAATCCAGCAACACTGAATGAATGCCTTCCCTTTCCAACACATGTCCTTGAGTTTCCTGTTTTAGAATAAACCAGCTCCACTCAACATCCCAGTGACTCTCCAGGGTTTCAGTTTTTCCCATGCAAGTGTGCAGCCTAGAATGAAAGTGACCCTGCAGGGGTACTCGGAGGGCTCCCTCCTCGGAGGGGACTGTGGATTGGGAGACAAACGGAGAGGGGCTAGCAGGGAGCCCTGGGACTCTCCTAACTTGGAGAGCTAGGAAAGGCAAAATGGGACGTGTCCTAGTCGGCTCAGGCTGCTGTAACAACAAACACGCCCTTGTCTGGGGGGCTGAAACGACAGACATTTACTTCTCACAGTTCTGGAAGCTGGGTGGTCCAAGATCAAGGTGCCGGCAGATTGGGTTTCTGGTAAGAACTCTCTTCCTGGCTTGCAGATGGCCACCTTCTCTCGTGTGCTCATGGGGCACGAAGTTCTGGGCTCTCTTCCTCTTCGTATAAGGTCACTACTCCCTTCGTGGAAGCCCCGCCCTCCTGACCTCATCTAACCCATTATCTCCCAAAGACCCCCACCTCCAAATATCCTCATACTGGAGGCGAGGGCTTCAATATATGTATTTCCGGGGGCCGCAAACTTTCAGCCCATCACAGGATGCCAACAGGAGAACTTGACCCTTGACATTGGCGAAAGGCCCCGCTTGCAGGCCGCTCAAGAGCCAGCCCGCCCATGTGCAGCCCGGCTCTGGTCAAACTGCCAGCATCAGGGATTTGAAAGAGAGCTGTAAACACCTCTCAAAATCCATTAAGTACATTTAATTCAGTTCCTTTTAACTTGTAAAAAAAAACCCGTCACACTGAAGAGGAGGGGAGGAAAGAAGGTATTTCAAAACCAAATCAAGATTTAAAAGGCAAACAAAAAAGAACTCCTCTGTTGGCAAATTGTAAAATGCTTCCTTCCTCCTTCTTCCATTGCTTCTCTGGGCCCACCTTCCCATCACCACCTTCCTGAATTTATTATCCTTAACTAGGAAGGTCAGGTGCACTCGCAACGGAACGAAAGCATGACAAACAGGAAAATGGAAAGCTAACCAAAGCTTGTTTAAAAATGAAAACA